AAACTCGAGTCCCTCTTCCTTTTATTCTCATCACCTTGCCTCAGAGCAGAGGACTCAATAGGCACATCCTCGTCACCTGATAGAGGCCTCATAGCAATATCCTTAGGAAGACCTGCAAAAGAAAACGGAATGAATAAGAACGCAATGGCACGAGGAAAAAATCAAATATTATTAACTTGGAAAAAGAAACATACTATGAGAACGAGCCTCCCACCGACCCTTCGACAGTTCACGCCACGCGCGCTCGCAATAGGGTTTCTATACACAAGGCCCTCGACCAACTCCTTGAGTCGATGAACTGCATTCGGCATCCGAGCAATAGCTGTAACACAAAATGTCGATAAAAGGGAGGAAAAAGGAAAAACAATAAATGAAATATTTAATTCAAGGTTATACTTATGTTTCATATTCCATTTCTCGGGAAATGACATGTCCTCGGCCGACATTATGTCCAAGGTCTTCACTCGAACGAATCGGCCCAACTAACATCGGTCCCGATCTTCATCTATACTCGAAAATGGGGCCTTACTAGCCCGACGGGGAAGTTTTATTAATCCTCCTCGATAGAGTCGGGGACTGTACAGGCGCATGAGATGATAGAGGGTGAAGGGGAACCCCTCAATTTTGTTTACAAAAAAGCGGAGAAGAATTACTATCCTCCAGAAAGAGGGATGGATTTAACCGAGGGTCACCTTGTAACTCTTACAGAAAGCAATGATCACCGGGTCCAAGGGGCCCAACGTGAAGGGATAAGTGTAAACACTTAAAAACCCTCCATGTGGGTATTAATCACTTCCTCAGGCATAGGCACCACCACATGCTTACCAACCCAGTTGCACCTCCTTGACCTTGGAGAGGAAATTGTCGGTGATTGAGCATATATATCTTGAGACTGGTTCGCATCGACTCGGTACCGAGGAAGTTTTTTCGAACTTGAAATCAGCACCGGTCAAGCACCTACCGGGAACAAAAACTTCAAGCTGAGGCTCCGCCGTTGGTTCCTCTCCAGCCTGCCATGATGAAAAGGCAGTTTATTTTTGTGGAACTATCTTAAAAGTCTTCACCATTTTTTTTGAGTAAAGATGAATAAGAGAAATTTAAAAGGTTACATTTAATGTTTTGGAATGAAGATAGGCGAAAGTTCTTGCAAAAGCCTCAAGAAATCTGGTACAAGTTTTAGAGAGTGCAAAGATTTTTTAAGAACAAGAATAGAAGAGGTTTAAATGTAAAGTTTAAATGAATGAAGGATGAAGTATTTATAGTTTTCAAATGACGGTTCAAAGTCTGTAGTGGCCGACCAGCGACCGACGAACATTTAATGCCATTAAGACGTGACTGACAATACGTCTTGTCTATTTTTGTCGTTTCTGATGCAAAGTATCGAGATCAGGATCAGGGGATCGTATCGTTTCTTGTCGCTTACACTCCGAAAAACAAGGGGACTATCTGTATACAGTCGAAACCGAGCTCATCTATTACACGACAGATCGGGACCAAAACGTGATGGATTGAAGATCGATCCCAGGTCCGATCGAACCAAAGTAAGAACTCAGAACATACGTATTCAAGATCTTCGAGCCCATGACTCTGGAGTCGACTCCGACTCCGAATAAGCTCGAGGAAACCTTTATCGGACCTAATAACGAAAGATCGAAATATCCGCAATTGGTCGGATATCACGATAGGAATCTCGGCACGTATCAACGAGAGACCGATTAATTAGCAAATCATGAGATTTCCTACCTTTTATAGAAATATATCTAAAGCTGGACTCACATACTATATAAAAGGGGTCCGAATCTTTGTAATAGATATGGTAACACGCATCCCAAAACTTTATAATATTATTTTCTCTATGTAAGTTACTGTTATTCTATATTTGACATCATTTGAATCACATTCAGTTCAAGTGAGATCTATTTTTTCAAGGCTATAATTGTTCAAGTCACATAGTTTGAATTCACTTTATTATTGTTTGCTTTATTTATAATTCAATATATCGTTTGTGTCAAATTAATCAACGTATCCTTAAAACCACTTATAAATTCAATTGTTATCCAATTTTGAGGGTAAACACTACTACTTACCACCAATATAATTAGTTACCAGGTTACCGCTAAAGATATGGACGGATAAGAAAAAATGACCTAGTATTTTTGACCTCCGGTGAAACATAAACCTAAGACCTAAATGGTCGTTTGGTTGGAAAGAAGTTATCCCAAGATTAATTATTATTCCAGTAATCCCGGGATAATTATCCCGGGATTAGTTATCTCGGAATTAATTACGCCACCTTTTCATGGGAATTAAAAAAATACTACAATCCATGGATAACTAATTTCGAAATTAATTATACCACAATTTTCCACCAAACAAACATGGGATAAACTTTTCTTAAATTTAGTCCAGGAATTAATTATTCATTATCCCTCATACCAAACGAGCCCTAAGGGTTCTTCACCATTTAATTGAACTCTAGGCTAAAACCTAGGGGTGCTTGGGCAAGATGATTTACACTCTGTAATCGGGATCAATTTTTTCCCTGCTATATTTTGTTTTGATCATGTTGACAAAAGCAGTAGAAAAACTAAACTGTTTTGAAATTCCTTCTTGCAGAAAGTGTAATCCAATCTTATCAAGTTTCATTTCTTCTTTTGAACGATGGGGAAAAGAGGCATTTGCATCTATACCCAGTTTTAAGGTCATTATTGAGCATTTACCTGCTTTGCATAAAAATTGCAAGTCTACTTACTTTTCGGATAACTTCAGACATAAGGGCCTGAAGCAGCAAAAAATTATGTCTGAGGTTTGAACTTCAATTTTTTTTGCATGAAGTGTGACCTTATCAAAGCAAAACCTCAAATATTTTTGCCTGACTTACAAAGGCAATCGGGAAAACTTCAGTTTATAATGCAAACTTCAGACAAATTAGTTTAAAGTTCTTCAGTTTTTATAGTGCAAACTTTTGATGCGCTAAAGAACTTTATACTTGAAATTAGCTGAAGGACACAACCAAATTAGATAAAAGATCAAAAAATTTTCTAATCCCTTGAAAACTCCTTCATTTTCTTATTGTAATACTACAAAATAATCATACAAAGGATTACAAATTCGGTGTCTTCCTCCTTACATAACTTCACACATATTCCTCTATATATCCCAAACACTACCACTTCTTTAAGAGCATATTTCTTTCTCTCCAAGCAAAAGTATTGGTCTTAGTTTCTTCTTCTTCTTCAACAAAAGATAGATAAAATGGCCATCAAAATATCAAATTTGCTACCACAAGCTGCAATTTTGAAGCAAATTATGAAAAGCTGTTCGAGATTGGGTAAGAAGCATGATTATGATATTGAAGAATATGGACTTTCCATTGACGTACCAAAAGGACATTTTGCGGTTTAATTACGTGGGGCAGAACCGAATTCGATACATCATACAAATTTCTTTCTTAATCTCGCCCTGAGTTTCAGTGCCTCCTCCAATACGCAGAGGAAAAATTTACCTTTGATCACGACATGGACATCATACAACATACTTAACGCAAAACAGTGTATTTGATATTCAATCAATAATACTTACACAGAGTCTCATGTGTTTGAGAGAGAAAAGAAGAAAAGAGAAGGAAAAGAATTGGAGGAAGAAAGGGGCGCACATGGCACAAGAAGAAGAGGAGGAGGCGACCACATGTCTAAAGTTGTAAAAATTAAGGTATAGGTTAAACAATTTTAAAAATCTGGGTATATGTGTGTTATTTTTACGAAATAATCTGTACAATATTTTCTTCCGTTCAGAAAAGCAATGATGAAACAAGTAATAGATTTAATACATATATTATAGTTACATATCTACCCACACACAACTAAAGATGATATTAAACTATTGAGTTATTGCGTAGAATTTAGGCTAAATATTCTATTGTTAATACACTTCAAAGCTGCCCTTATCATTATCATCTCCAGCATAGCACTCTAGTTTATCGAGTACTACTCCGCCCCTTTTTACGTGAAAGTGCTTTGATTGAGCATAAAATCTAACAAATAAAAAATACTTTTGACATGCAAGTCATACGAAAAATATAAAAATTTTCCTTTAAATTAATGATGGTAAGTGTTATACCTATTTTTTGTTTTCTGTCTCCTTATGAATAAAAAAGCTTTTATATCAAGTAAGATAAAAAAAATATTCCATTAATTAATGACAATAAATGAGGGAAGGATGTTGAGAGTAGGCGTTTAGACATAAGAATTATAAAATTTCAAAAAACAGTAAAAAAAAATTTCAAGTGAAAATGGTATTTAAAATTTAAAGTTGTGTTTGGACATAAATTTCAGTTTGGGTTGTTTTTGAAATTTTATGAGTGATTCGAGTGAAAATTTTGAAAACCGTTTTTTGGAGTTTTTCAAATTTTTGAATATTTTCAAAATGCATCTTCAAGTGAAAATTGGAAATTTTATGAACAAACGCTGATTTCGAAAAAAAATGAAATTTTTATAGAAAAAAGGAACTTTTTTTTATGTCTCTAAGTAGTTTCTTAGACCATCTCCAACCCTAACACCAAATTTCACACCAAAATGGTGTAACACCAAATTTACTCCAACCATTACACCATTTTTTACACCAAAAAGAATATTTCTTCTCTCTTCTATATTATATTATTATCTTCTATTTAAATTTTATTTTTTATTTCCTTCAAACAAATTCTATCTTTTTTCTTTTTTCCATATTCATCATATATAATTCACATTCATCACTTATATAATTATTTATTACAAAATTATTTTAAAGGATAAATTAACTAAAAGTGAAATCATTGATACTGAATAATAGTACACCCTTGAAGATGCTCAAATGTTACTCCAATTTTATTTCGAAACAATTAAAAAAGAAAAATATAGGAATCACGTAAAATGAGACTGATTGATGAGGCAAGTCCAATCCTAATATTTTGGGCCCTGGACCAAAATATCCCTAGGCCTGAGAATAAGAGCAATCATACAAAAAAGGGTTCCTATATTCAAGCAGGTACACGCCTACAGGGAGAGAGGAACAACGAGAGCCATCGCCTACAGCGTGCTGTAGATTGAGCGATTATTCCGATTAGGAAATGGATCCAGAAAGCGTCGCAAAAGCATTCGTGGACCACTACTACTCCACCTTCGATACCAATCGGGCTGCGCTTGCTAACCTCTACCAAGAAAACTCTATGTTGAGTTTCGAAGGTCAAAAGTATCAGGGATCTCAAAACATCGTTGCTAAGCTCACCAGTCTCCCCTTCCAGCAGTGCAAGCACCATATCAGCACCACTGATTGCCAGCTCTCTGGTGCCAACGGTATGCTTGTCTTTGTCAGCGGTAATCTCCAAATCCCCGGCGAAGAGCACCCCCTCAAGTTCAGTCAGGTATTTGTTGCTAATTTTTTGGATTCCTTTCCATTTGTTACATTGCGATGTGCTACCTGGTTAGGGTTTGAATCTCATCAGATGCCATTTCGGGTTTAATTTTGCGTGTCCTGATTTGTGTTCGGCGCGTTAATTCGGTACTGTTGCTTGCTCCTATGTTCCGATTCTGTATTGCGATTGATTGCTCATCGCTGATTTGTCCGGCTAGGGTTAATTCGCTTGTCTGTATCAGAACCGATTTTAGGGTTTAATTTTGCGTGTCCTAATTTGTGTTTGGAGCATTAATTCGATACCGAGGCTTGCTCCTGTGTTCTGGTTCTGTATTTGTGATTGATTTCTCATCGCTGATTTGTTATATAGCATCTTAGATCGGTTGCTTAACAAGGATGCATTTTACTGGAATCCTATCCTTTTACATGAATCTAATGAGTATTGAAGACATAGTTAAGTAAATAAAAGTGTGCTCTCTTTAGACATGGTCACACAATTCAATATGGTACCAAGGGCAGGCAGAGTTTCTGCATCTGAGTCTCACCACCACTATTATTAAAAAGAATTTGCATATACTTAGCTAAGCATATGTTTAAAAAGAAATGAGTGGCATGGTTCTATAGCATTTTGATTTGGATTGGCTGGAGCAACTTTTGAATTGTTTGTTAGATTTGAATTTGTGTTTGTTTAAGTGCTCTTTCTTCTTCTCTTTGTATTTGAAATCACTTCTTTCAACATGTAAATGAGAAAATGTGTGTTTATAAAGCAAACGAGTGATGTGGTTCTGTAATTGGTTTATTTGAATAGGCCGGAGCAACTTTCCAGCTAAACAGTTGGAAAATTGCAACTTGAAATAAGTGCTAAACGCTATTCGAGGACAGAAATAGTGACTTTAGGAAAAAAAAATCAATCAGATGTAAACGATTAAATAACTTGGCTGTCCACATTGGGAATTCCCTTGTCACGACTCAGAGCTCGCCAAACAACCCAAACTATGTTTCTGATGCATTTTGAAGTAACCCATGTTGGAGCACCTTCACTAAATTCCAGATGCTTCTGGATTTGGTAGACGGTTCTCTTGGATGATTGGATGATTTGAAGCTGTGTGGACATTATGATGTTAGCTGACGTATGCTGAAAATCATGTAGCATTGGTCTGTATATGTGTACATGCCTGTGAGGATAAAAAGAGGCAATTACGGAATGGTGTAGTGGAACTTCTGAATACGAGTACAATAAGCTTCTTTAATCCCTTATTTGAAGAGTGCTTTGTTTATTGGGATTCTACATCTAGCCTATGAGGGGTGTTTGGATCTTCACTTTCCCACGCTCTGTTTTTTTTCAAAAAAAATTCCTGAACAGGACAAGGGTATTATTAAGTCGGTTTTCTTCTGTTATCTCTATTTTGTGAATAGCTTAACAAACGATCAGTAATATGTGTTGTAGAATATCATCTTTATGGTTCCTTCTTAGTCATTCTATAAATAATGGTAGGGTGTCGTGCTTTGACTGCTCTCGAAGTTATTTTGTTGGACTCGCATCTAATGTTGACTGTTTGGTCTTGGTTTGCCACTTTTTTTTTAAAAGCAACTAGCTTTGGCACACCTTATCCCACAGAAAAGAAGATAAATAAGAAGAAACAAAACAAAATCAACTATCTTTTGCGGAGGGTTTTTCCTTTCTTTCCCGAAACAAGAACTATTTGTTTTTCTCTTGTTCGTTTTGAAAAGCAGCCTCCTATGTTCAATACAGAAATAGAGCGTTCTTTGAACTGGTAGTTTGGCGCAGTCCTTCAAACTGATTATGCAGACAGATTTTGTTTTGGTCGTTAAGGAGATAAGAAAGGATTTTTCTCGATTTCCACTTTTTATTTCTATTTTCCTTCCTCGTGCACCTGTTCCTAATTTCCAAAGACATGGATGTGCTTGCTGTTTTGTTGATCATTCAGAAGAAATCAGCAGTGATGAGTTTGTCGTCTGAAAATATTTTATTATTGAAGGATATCTGTCTTAAGTTTCTTGAAATTTGCATTTCTGGATACAATGCTTCATAGTTTATGCATCTCAAATTTCTAATGTTATACGTCTAATTTTCATGGACTGCAGATGTTTCAGTTGATACCAGCAGGTCAAGGAAGTTTATATGTGTCCAACGACATATTTCGCTTGAATTACGCATGAAGGGTTCTGAGTTGAATTGTTTCTTGGTCATGTTTTCGTGATTGGTTTGTCTAAAACTAAACAAGTCAGATTATAACTTCTAGCAAGATATTGCCTCTGTTTGATATCACAGTCAGTATAAGACCAGTCTTCCTGTAATGGTTTGGTGAATTGATTGATGCACTTGGCGACAGTTTGAATTTTATGGAATTGAATGAGTCCTATCTTGCTTCCTGATGTTATTTTCTTGCAAGTTTCTCTCTCTGATGTTGCTCATCATGATTCCTCCCTTTTTCTCTTTGCTACTTTAAGCCGTGATTATTTGGTGGATCTCGAGACATGTAAAAGTTGTGTTGGAAGTGCTTGCGGTGCCTGAAGCTGTTGAAACGTGGGCCTAAATTTTTAAGAAAAAGGTTGTTAAGATATGGATTGTGTTATCAGGTTTGCACTTGATTCGTAACCGTTGTCATGGCGAAATTTTTATATAGTAATTGATTTAAACTTTCCGAAGCTGAAGGCAGTCCTGTAGAATTTGATACCTGACACTTTGACCAATAGCTTTGCTATGTCGTATATGAGTGAAGAAGTGCTGTAGTAATCCTAAAGTATGGTGTCTATTTGTTTTTTTTTGTCCGAGGAAAAGTAACGTGGTCGTCTTCCCCTTTGGTGATTAGAAGCTTTATTAAATAAATATATTGAACAACTAACTAGGTACTTGGAGGCCGGAGGGCAAGAGTTGAGTGGGTTGGGAGAATCAGAGTTTTGATATATTAACGCATTGGTTCTTTATTGAAATCTTATTTGTCATGCATGTTATATTTTGCCTCTCTTTTTGATTTTCAAATCTCCGTCCTAGTTAACGACTCTATTATGATCTGAAGATTGACTTATTGATCTGTCATTTCAAAGTCCTCTCTCTTCTTGTATATAATTATTTCCTTCTGGGGGTCTTGCTTGATTCTAAATACTAATTAAACGTACGTTTCTCTTGGTGGAAAAATTAATGGTATCTCAAAAGGGAATGTTTAATATTTTTTCAACAATCTTAAGGATATTTACACTCTTTTATTATGGAGAATAATTTACTATACATGATAATCATTCATGTCAAATAGGATTTGGCATATTTTTTTGATGAAAGGGAAGATGATGATTAATGTGTTGGTGGAACTCTTTATGAGTTGTGAAAAGATTATCTCATTAACCTGAAATTTTTTAAAAATGTGGGGATTTGTGGTGCCCAAAGTTATATATCATGTTCCTAAGAAGGAAAAGTTATTTGTTAAAATTATAACATGGCCTTAAAAAATTGAGATTTTTTTTTGGCAAAAATTTATATTGGAAGATAAAAAATATGTTGTTTTTTTGGCTCTGAAAGTTAGTCATTTGGGTGAAGAAATCTTTGAATTATGACCCTTTCCTACTAATTTGAGATATTTTTGCAGAAGTTAAAGTTGCTTCTATGTTTAAAAAATTTTATTTTGGTATTTGAATATGAAAGATACCAAAAGAAAATAGATTCTTATATGTGTTGAAAGATGTTTCAAAAAACACTTGTATAGAAGTCAAGTTTCATTTTATTTGAGGTGATTTTGTGCCTTATTTGAAAAATACTATGAGTTAGTATTCTGTATGTGGATTTTCCACTGTATTAGAAGGATACAATGATAATATTGAATCTCTGGTTCAGATGTGAAAAAACTAGCCGTTGGAGCAACAATTATATAAACATGGTCTTTGGAGAGCTAAAGACACAATTTCTAAAACAAATTTCTGAATCATCTTTTCATCCTATATGCTGGGTTTCTTTCTTGAGTTTTCTGCTAGTTCTGTTCCCAGTTTAATAATTGGAAGAGCCTGTTGAATCCTGGGGGATACACCTAATTTTATTCATTATGGTGTGAGCGAAATATCATTAAGGACAATATCCTTGACACGCCTCAAGTTAAATCTTGTTCTCCATAATTAATTTTTCCAACATCTCTTCTATCATTCTTATACCGACTATTACAATGCCACGAAATCCCTAACGCCATGTGAGGTTGATTATGCACAGTCGGAGTGTGCTTTTCATATTTTCCCTTCTCATAAAACAGTACGGAGTGAATTATGTATGCATTTCAAATCCTAGAAACATTCACTTCTCTAGCTATACATCAGATAAAGCTAGCGGTTGTTTTGAGGGAATATAATTACACCTGCGTGATTAGTCAAAATAGAACTAGATAGATCAAGGTGCTAGCACAGGGGTAAGAATATACGTTATACTACGATTTTGAAGTTTTGGATCTATCATTTGAAAATCGAGAGGAAGAACTCTGTCATATTTGATTAGTTGAAGGATTTGCTAGTTGATAATATAATCAAACCCCTTGTGATATATAGAAGAGAAAAAACAAAAACAGTGGAAGGTGGTGGGTCTTATTTAATTAACAATATGTGAATAGTAAATCGCAAACAAAAGTTTGTGCATATATAAACGGGGAATTATGAGAAGTAAATAAAGCGTTAATGCCCAACGGCCTCGCACCAGATTGAAATTTCAGTGATCAATGCTGCTGAAAGTACTGAATACAAAAATAGCAAATTAAAAGAGAACCTTCTGCAGGTTGCAGAATAGTAGAGCATTGAAGGAGCATGTTTAGTTCTAGCTTCTTATATTATTTGCTGTAATTAAACATAGAGATGCAGATTGAGAACAACGAGCAAAAGAATGAGAAGCAAACCAAAGAGGATAGCATGAACCAATATGGAAATCCAACTTGTCTTCATGTTCAAGAAATCAACTGGCCGAATCTTGCCCGGCATTTGAAAGAGTAATCCGGGAGATAGAAATGCAAATAGCGATGTAGCTATGATCGGACCAGCCCAATCATTCATATTTTATGATCTTTAGCACTCTATTCAACTTTTGGCTAGATAAAAATAGTACTAAGTAAGAGATCTAAGAAAAGAGAAGAAGAGAGAAAAAGTACACTAAACAAGTAGTAGTAGTAGATAAGAAAAGGAAGAGCTTTGGAATATGATATCAATGGCGTGAAAGTAGAAAATGATGAGAGAATCGCATAAAGTAAAGGAATATATGAAAATATCAAACACTTTCTAGTTTAATTATTCCCACCTTGTAATATAACTTACGTACTGAGTCTAGAGAGTACTACTTTATTAGCTATAGTGGATAAGGCAAACCCATCCATGATGTTACAAAGGACACGAACCGGACAAAGCTTAGCTGCCTAACATAGCTAATTGGCTATTGTCTTTGCCTGCAATTATGCATGCGCATATTGACTACTACACCAATACATAGTATCATAAAAAAGATCAAATTTACTCCTATGATCAACTTTGGCATTGTTACATTTTTTCTCTAGTTTTACTCTGCCGTAAGAAAAAAGTTTTCATTTTTTCCTTGACTCCTTACCTAGCTTCAATCAGAAGTTAATTTTAAAGTATAGTCAAAAGTTATGGAGAACTTGAACCTTTTTCCGAAAGAATTAGGGCACTTGAAGTCCGTTCATTTATGTTAGAGCTCTACCTCCATTGGTGACACGAGCAAATACGAAATTATTTACTAACGACAATGATGTGAATTAAATAAAAATCTAGAATTGTACAAGGGCAAAAGTTGATGATGGAGCAATTGAATTATCCTGAGCTGAGAGTTTGGAGAATTCATATTGACGGCTATTTTGATACTTAAAATTGGAAAGCGGCTACTCTAATATATCCTTTCTCTTTCCTCAATTTTCGATTTGCACGCGTAATGCTTTTGTCATAATTCGAATTAAAAACTCAATAAGCTGAAGTTTTATGGTCCCAGATTCATTAGTTTTGTCATTAAGCCTTTTCAAAAACTTCAGCAGAAGATGCTAAAGTTATTTAGTTCATTTATAAAAACTTCAACACTAAATAAGCTGAAGTTTTTTTGTCCTGGATTCATTAGTTTTGTCATAAAGCTTTTTCAAAAACTTCAGCAGAAGATGCTGAAGTTATTTAGTTCATCAATAAAAAACTTCAGCATTAAATAAGCTGAAGTTTTTTTTGTCCTGGATTTATTAGTTTTGTCATAAAGCTTTTTCAAAAACTTCAGCAGAAGATGCTGAAGTTATTTAGTTCATCTATAAAAATTTCAGTACTATATAAGCTGAAATTTTTGAAAAAGCTTTCTAACATACTAGATAAATAATCAGATTGCCAAAAGTATCTAAATCATAAATTTTGGAAAAAAAAACATGAAAAGAACAAAATTATCATGAAAAGAATCACTAAGTGTGACCTTAAACTTCCCGTACGTGAAAATATTTACAAATTATTGGCTACTAACTTACGTAATTATTTATATTTTGTTTTTAAATAATCTGATAAACATACTTATGGCAATCATCCCATGAACTGAAGTTTCATAGCAGCACCAACAACAACAGAAGAAAGAAGAAGAAGAAAACAAAGGAGGAGAAGGAGGAGGAGAAAGGGGGCTGAAATTGTTTAAAAAATGGGTACAAAATAAAACTTAAAAAAAAATGGGTATAGATTAAATGAGGACGACCAAATAAGGCGCCCCGACTGAATTACGCCTGTGATATCACGATTGAAAAAAAAGCGCATATTGAATATAACTTAATTTCTAACTAGTTTCAAGCTTGTGAATCGAGTATTGTCTAAAACTATATAAAGAATCCAATACTATATCTGAACATGTAAATGGCATCTCATCAAAAGCGGGTCCAAAAACTGCTTGTTTTCATTTGCATGAATTTTAGTAAACAATCTATACACCTTTTGACAATTACCTGTGAAATATAACTATACGGAGAAACAAACACAGAGAAATTAAGTTTGATAAAACAAGAACATATCCCTATTAATTAAGGCAAAAGCTAGCTTAGCTTTCCAAGAAATTAGAATTGGAAACATATACTACTCCCTAATTAAATCTTGATTGGAGGGAAAGAAAAATCGGACCAAATGTGGAGATTAGCGGTGACAATCAAAAGGGTATATATACAAAAATATAAAATGGCATGAACAAGTATTGAAATGCCACTGGTGTACATATTCCCGAACTCAATGCACCTCGTTCTTGAAGGCAACTGGAATAGCAGTCCCGGCGACAATATTATGAACAATGCCGCCGCTATCACCGATGGCGCCCAATCTGTTCCCATTATTTATGCTTCTTCTATCTTCTTCTTGCTATAATTTCTCTTAGCTAGTCAGAAAAATTAGTAAGTGGCAAAGAGGAAATTTATATAGTGGTTTTGCTTAGTGAAGAAGGAGAGAGAGAGGATATATGCTAAACTTGAGAGTGAAATGCACGTATGGTATTAAAAAGAGAGAAGAAAGTGTATATGGTGTGATGGTGGGGTTTTTGCTTTATGGATCCAAGTTGACAGAAATTAAACTACTGCCTTTGTGAATAAGTTTCCAGAAGGAAGAAAAAAAAAACGTTTTCCTCTTAGTTTTGCTAAACACATTAACACTACTAGAAATTGGTAGAAAACCGTCCAGGACCTATCGACCGAAATCGCTGGGAAGTAAGAAAAATAGTGTAAATTGATCGTAAAAGGCAAACAATCAATTTCAAAAAAAATAAAATGTGGTCCCAAAATATCGAGATACTGTTTTATCTGGCACATTTAAATATAGCGATTGATGTCGGTCGAAAACCAGTCAATGTTTTACCAAAAGCTGGTTAGACTTGCATACTATGTAGGAATTTTTTTTTTCAATTTTGAGTCGGTATTTTTAATTTGCATTTTCAGCCCAATTTCAACCGTCTCGAAATCTGACAAAAGTCACAAAACCCGAAAGGCCATTCACTCACGAGTCTAACCATACCAAATTTACTCAAATCCGATAATAAAATCTCATTCAAAACCTCAAAAATCCATCTCAAGAACACTTCCTCTTTCCCCCCAATTTTCCACCCTAAATCACAAATTAAATGATGGAATTAAAGACATAATCATGGATTTGACCAAAATTAGATAGAAATCACTTACTCCAAACACCCACGCAAGAATCTCTCCAAAAATCGCCTTCCACCGAGCTCCCAATTCAATTTTGTGATATGAACTCAAAATCCTCGTTTTTGAATCTTTTATTCTGCCCAGGTACGCCTCCTTTGCGAACGCGGAGGTACCCTCGCGTTCGCAAAGCACAAATTGCCTCTGACCAAAATTCCTTCTACGCGAACGCGAACCTTTACTGGCCCCTCTCTTCGCGAACGCGGACCTTATGTCATGACCCAAAATCCATTAAGAGTCATGATGGTGCCGGACACCACTGTCAGGCAAGCCAACACCAAGAAGTTAATTAAATTCTCATTTTAATATTTTTTGAAATCATTTCTTTTCCTCAAATTAAACAATAAATAATGAATTTCACCGAATAAATAATGATGTCGTTAACAAATTTCCAATACTGTATAATCCCATATACATCCCAGAACCCGGTGTCACAAGTGCATGAGCAATTTCTAGGAATAAAATGTAATACAATAACTGTCTGGAATACAAATTGGACAGAAAAGAAAGTACAATACTCTGAAGGAGACTCTGCCGGTTGCGGGTCGTCTCGAGAGATGTAGCTCACCTAAGTCTTCGTATCAACCATGCCGCTGCGCCCAACAAGACCACTAGACATACATGTGCCCGTGCAATAAAAATGCACAACAAGTGTAGTATGAGTATGAAAATAACGCGTACCCAGTAAGTATCCAGTCTAACCTCGAAGAAGTAGTGACAAGAGGTCGATCCCAACACTTACTAGTGGTCCAACAATATGATAATATGAAATTCTAATTAAGCATGATTTATAGAGATAACAACAAAACTCAGAACATGAAAAATAGCCGAACAATTCTTTCATTAGTATTATAGGACTCCAAAACACTTCCTTCATTTAAAACAAATAATCTCTCAAAAACAAATTTATACAAATTATAAAAAAAAGTTTCTGGCTGTATTATCACACATAATTTCTACCGAGGACGTTAGACCCGATCCAACATAAATGTAAATTGTGCACTGCCGAGGGTCGAACGACGCGAATCATAGACACATCAATTTTCCCGCTCGCGAATCATACCTGCGACACAGTCCCCGTTCACGAATCATACATGCGACGCTATCAAATATAAATTTAAGAAATTATCCCGCTCGCGAATCATACCTGTGATGTAGTCAAAAATAAATTTAAGAAATTACCCGCTCACGAATCATACCTGTGACGCAGTCAAATATAAATTTTGACATTTAAATCATATCTCTTTCTTGGGGGGGGGGGGGGGGGGGGGGGGTAAAA